CCACGTCAAGGGAGTGACGCACTGTTGCCTCATCACTCACCCACCCACCCACCTACCCGCCCACCCTTTGGCTCATTAACTAAGTGTGGCACCTTCCGCGCTTCCTCTCTCTCTATGAAGCCCTTTTGGTTTCTTTTTCTTTTCATCCAGCTTTACACATAGGCATTAATGGGAGAAGGCAAGCTTTCTATGGCTTCATGATTAGACTGGCTTTGTTAGCATAATTATATAATTTTTAAACTAGTTGTATATCGTAATGTACACCAACTAGTCACCAACCATAGCGACGCAAAGCTCTCCACCGGCCAGTATTTTGAGAGATGGACATTTTGATAATGTAATCTATGTAACTAAAGTCCAAATCATGTCAATTAAGATAGTTCATGGATTAGGAACTTTTGCCAAGTGTAGGAGTAGTTCTAGCTGTGTATAGTTTCCGAAATTGTGTGTGAGTACCATCTGGTAGGTTGAGAGGCCTTAATAATTAATCTGTAGCTAATCTTTAATACAAAGCAATTGAGATCCACGATCAAATTGAAGTTACATCCACCCAATTCATTGTAGGGCCATGTGCCTACTAGGCATTGAACTAATCCTTCAAGTAGTATTTGGTGATACATCAAATGAGGTGTTAATAATGAGCAATCATTTTTTTAATTTATCAAACATTAAACAATACATAGTGCTAGAAAGTATTATAATTCTCCATCTCCTCGCGTCTTCGAGGTTTTGGTGTGGTGGAAGAGCTCTTTAGCATGATACTAGACCAAATCGAGTTCAAATCCTCACATACATGCATTTAAAACAGACTTAATAAGTATTCTGTTTTACAAAATAGTCTGGATTTTAAACATGTTAAAATATAAAATTATGTCCCTCGGCCTTTATTATAACTTCGGAATTTTACTGTAGCAGAAGAGATCTTTAACACATACATAACCAAATAACTTTCTATACTGATTTTCCAAATAGAAAAGAAATAGTAAATATTAGAGAAGTATGATGTTAAGTCATAAATGTAGCAAAATATGTAATTATGTTGAGTAATACAAATTATACTACAAATCCATTGCAAGTATTCAAATCCTTTCCTTTCTCCTAAATATGTAACTAGAATCTCTATATTTTTATTTCTGCAAAATGATTAAGTCTTGTAGGGTCTGTTTGGTTCGTTGTTTTGGGCCAAAGAAATACATTTCCACCTCTGATAGCCCCCTCCACATCGAAAAAATAAGTTTTTACGTTTCTTTTCTCAGCTTTGGTTCTCAAGGAAATTGGCTGGGTAACTCCCTCACACGTCAGCAAAATTTCTAAGATCCATTTCCGCTCAAAAAGTGAGGAAATCGCTGGAAACCCTCATCGCCTCTGACAACATCGATCTCGTTTTTTCTCGTTGCTTCTTTTGGCGAAGAAAGAGAAGGCTAGGGTTACCTCCCTCCATTCTCTACCCGCTAGAAATTTTTTGCGGCCCTCTGTCGTCAACTTTTTTGCCGGCTAGGGTTTTTTCGCCGTCTTGTTCTTTTGCCTTCATCGCCGGATTCGTTGTTTCTGTTAATTGCTCAGTGAGTTCCTAAACTCTACAAATTTTCTTTAAATTTTCAGTTTGGTGTTGAGATCTGAAATTCGTTGGATTTTAACTGAGAAGGGGTTATTGTGATTATTTTTGGTGTTTATTGAGGGATTGTTGGTTGGTGTTTCCAGCAACCTACAATGTTAAGTTCTGAAATTTGTCGGATTTTGACTGAGAAGGGGTTATTGTGATCACTTTTTGTATTTATTGAGGGATTGTTGGCTGGTGTTTCCAGCAACCTACAATGTTAAGTTCTGAAATTTGTCAGATTTTGACTGAGAAGGGGTGTGTGTGGTATTTTGTGATTTCGTCGAATTTTCATCGGATTTGGGGAAATCACTGCCAACACTCATAATTGGTAGAAAAAATGTCTTTGTAGTCGACTACTAAGCTTAGTAGTCGACTACATTGAGTCTATTCAGACCGTAAAGTCAAGAAACAGGGTTAGTAGTCGACTACTTAAGGCATTAGTCGACTAATCTGTAAAACTTAAGTTTCTGTAAGTAAAACTGAGAATGAATAGTCGACTATTAAGCATAGTAGTCAACTAATCTGTAAATATGAAGTTTCTGTAACTTTGACTAAGGCTTTTATAGTCGACTACTAAGGGTATTAGTCGACTACATACATAGATATCATTTGTGATTCATTTATGTCGGTTGTTTTAATTGATAGCAGTTTTTAGTATTGATATTGCATATAGATGCTTGCTACATATATTAAGTATTTCAATTTTATATTTGCATTATAGATGGATGGTGATGGGGATTGTTTCGATAAACAAAGTGTTGTTAATATGGTTCAAGATACTGCACTATCCATTTTTATTATAATAATTACTATCATAAGGAGAATGCAATCTAGATGTAAATCAATTCGTAGTGGTCTAAGTGAGGGAAAAAAAGATAAGAGATGGCTAGAATTGAACACATAGAGTGTATTTATAATAGTTTTAGTGATAGTTATGTAAATTATATTAGAATACGTAGTGCTTGTAGGCGTTAAAAATTGCCTATAGGTCCTCAAACATAGTTCAAGACAAGGGAAAGACGATAAACGTTATTATCCAAGTCAAGGGAATTTACCCAAATATCAGTAAATGTATGAATTGGATCAATAGAATGCATAAGTCAGCGAAGCGATGAAGCGTATGCAAAACAAGGGAACTGGAAGAATCACGAATCACCAAAGTATCAAAAAAGTAAACGAAACACCACTTGGAGGCCTGTATAGGCGCGAGTCACCATTGGTGCCTCGCACCTATGCGAGCCACCAAATGGCGGCTCGCACAGTTCCGAACCACCAAATGGTGACTCGCACAGTTCCGAGCCACCAGGACTCTTATTGAATACAAAACCTCCCCAAACACAGATTTCGATGATTTTTAAAGATTCTTTCGTCACAAGACCTCCCTAACTGTTTTGAAGTTATTCCTAAACGTGTTTAAGCGGTTATTAACTGCATATAACGTTTAAACATCAGTTCTTATCTAAAAACACGTCTCCAAAAGCCTATAAATAGAAGCCTAAGTTCTTCTTTCAAGAGGATCTGAAATTGAGAAGGCGAGGTGCTGTCAAATTGCCCAGCTAACCACGAATTTCAGAGGAGAGTTATTAGATCTTGGCGAACACTTTCATAAAGAAAGCCCTTCGAAAGGTTTGTGATTCTTTCCCCTTCTTTTCTCCGGATTAAACTTGGTTTTAATCTCGAGAAGAGCCACAATCTCGCTTGGTCGTGATTGTCGCTTCCGCAATTGTTTCCTTTGTGAAACAAGAGCGTAATTATATTGTCTATCGGGTTGATCTGCAGTGGTCCACGGACTAACGTATCCCCGGCACAGGCAAAGATCCCACGCAAAGCAGCGGGAGATAAACTACTGTTGTGTTTTGTTTGATAAAGTTGTAATCTTTATTTTTTATTGTAAGAAGATCTTATAAAAAGATCAACTTTTCTTTCAGTTTGAACTTGTAATCGATAAACGGTGTAACAGGTTTGAAAGCAATGGAAAAGGCGACTTTTGACACAAACAGTGCTGCTTTTGTTAAATTAGCAGTATAATGAGGAACAATAATCTGTTAAAAGAATCACGGAATATAACAGTGGAAGAACAACTTATCATGATAATGAACATTTTGGATCATAAATCTAAAAATTGCATTGCCAGATCTTATTTTATAAGATCAAGGGAGACAGTTAGTAGATATTTTAATAAGGTATTACAAGCAATTATT